CCCCCGCCCCAAAGAAAAAAAATCGTAAAAAATGTCACTTGTATTGACGCACAAGATCGAAACACAGGAAGGACGGGCGCCACGTTGGTCCGCAGACTAAGCTATATTTACCCTTAGACATTCCCTGTGGCTTGGAGTCGTGTGTCGGGACTGCCGCGTCAAGCGGTCAGACGATACTGATAACAGCATGCACATAGAGGGCTGCTCACAAAACATTCGGAGGAGGGGCAGTGGAGAGGAAAAATGGGAGTTGGGGTCATTGGGGAGTTCACGAAAGAAGATCAAAACGTATGCGATTCACGCGTTTCTGTAGTAGTAGATTCGAACGGTAGTTTGTTTGAACACACACGTGATCGCGTAAGTAGCGGACCGCCGATTTTTCGACACATCCACCTAACTCCCCCCCCCCCCCTTCCTCTTCCTCCCGGCTTACAACAAAAAGCATAAGTAAATGCGGTACCGTGTGTGGGCTGACACAGCGGCATGCGGGTCCTCCGCCCCTAAGCCGCTATGCATGGCCCCAGCGGCAGGCAAGCCCGCCTGACACATCACAAATAAGACAACATTTCGATCACGCTGCATTTCTCCGTATCACAGATATCTTTCGAATTCTGGCGGAAGGCGAGCGGGGCACCACATGGCAGCGAGGGGGAATTGTCTATTGACTCGGCTGGGCCCGTGGGCCCAAGGTGGCTGGGCCGCACCTGGCGCAAAGCACAGTACCGCTGGGATGGGCGGGGGACCGTCCTCAGACAGCCAACAACTTCTACAGAAGCCTAGCCGGCGATGATCAATTTAAGTTGCATAATTCAGACATAATCTGGTCAATACTTGTACATTAGGTGGCACTGGGAAGTGTAACGAAATGTCGCACTGTAGGAAGTGTAGAACTCTTTTACACTCCAGACGCGTAGAACTCGTTTAGAGTCAACAGCGCAGAGAATTCTCGCTCACGGCAAAAAGAAAGCAGTACACGTATACGACAATTTGAACAAAGTACCACAGAGCCCGCCCTTTATTTCTGTTGTGCTACCACCCAGCCGTGGTGGCGGGATTTGCCTACAGCGTCGCTCATCGTGGCACCTATTTAGTACGCAATAGCAACCCCTACCTAACCCGACCTGACCAATCTCGTACACTTTTTCTTTGAAATGACTTTCGCATAAGAAACAGCCGACGGTGACTGTTGGTCGAATGTTGCTTATTCGTACCGTTTTAGCCCCCCC